ATAAAAACTTGGTGTGGAATCTACCTTTCTCTTCTATAGTCCTAGTTGTATTAGGGCATGATTTTGTTTTGTGTTGGTGTATACAAACTTAGAATTTAAAGAGAGTGGACCACCTTCACAGTTTAATGAGGATTACTTAAAGACCATATTTGAACCTAGAAGTAAAAATTGAAATTATTCAAAGGAAAGGGAAAATAAAACAAAAGCAAAAACACTGTTAGGGCAGACCTGAGATGCCTGCTTGCTGAATCAATAGGTGAAATAACCAAAGCAGACTGAAAGGTTGAAGTTGGTTTGAAGCTGGCAAGAGAGACTGCCATATGGAGCTGAAAGGTGAGAATTGGTGAAGTTGAGAGGGAGGCAAAAGCTATCTCAAACCAACAATCTCACTGTAATGGGCTCGGCACACGGGTCTCCCTCCTGCTAAGCGACATGTGAAAAACGTGCCAATGTGACATTTTGCGCTCGTGCATGTGTCGTGCACAGGCAAGCCAGTGACGCGATCCCATGAATTAGAAAATTTCAACTTTTCATCGTTGTCGCTCAGACAAGGACCATTGAGCAGAGATTTCATTGATTGATCAATGAGCAGATAGCACACTTCTCAGTACATCTCCGGGCAAACGTGAAGGAAAAGTTAATAATTGCTGTTGAATTTCCCAGAGCTTTACATTTCTACAAAAGAATATAGAGATCTTCACAAAAAGGCAGTGGGGTCGGAAATTGTTGGTGTGGTCTCATATTCGCAGTTTCTTTTTCTGTTTGTAATATAGGATGAACCCATTCACATAGTTTTCTTTTTTTATACAGTAAAGTCAAAAGTAAGACTTGCCTTAACTCTAGAAAATCCTTGTGATGCTTCTTATCTATGGCTTTTTCATCTCAGAACTGCTTTAATAACCCAAATTTCCCTCAAATCTGAATCCTAATATAAACAATGGAAAACTCGCTATTCGCTGCTGGCACATGTCATCTTTTTCTACAGTCACTGGTCACCTCCCATGTGTCAATCAAAGTGATAGTGAAAAGTTTAGCTGATTGCAGTCATTTGTTGCCTCCAGTGTGTTGACCCCATAACTCTGGTAGCAGCTTCATGATTGGAAACACCTATTGGTTAAAAACTTGACTGGTGAGAATATTGTTTTCTCAAACCATGTGTAGCGTATTCTACATACTAGAATCAACACTGTTTGCTATCAGTTGTTAGATTCTGAGAATGACAAGCAGATTAGCATATGAAGCTTATATCATGTATAAATATCCAAGATACTTATATAATCGATAGAAGTTCATACACCAACCTGTTTGGTCTATATTTAATCCAAAGATTAATGTTTAATTTAAGATAATTACATTTAATAGCAAAAGTTTATTTTTGAATCAGAAGTTAGGAATCTTTGCTTTTTCAATAACCAGAAATATTTATAACTTTCTGTGTTTCATTTCAAAGATTAGGCAGTGTTTAAAATTTGAAGAATTTATTACTAACAATTTTAAACTTGACAGTTTGAAACAACAATTTAAATGACAATTAAAAATGACAATTCATGGATGACAATTTACCAGCTTTGATATTAAAACTTGTTTTAAAGGCTAAAAGCTAAAATGAAATGAGAGTTTTGGATGCATGAATGTTCTCAGAAGGTTTCTTTCAGAGAAAGAAGCGCGTTCTGGGTTGGAAATAATGGTTTTGCCGCTAACTGTTGTTACTTACAGAAACAGCATCAGACGTCATCTGTCGAAAATGTCTACCTCACCCAGTTTCAGGAGACCCCCTTTTGGATCCGAGATGTCAGGTGGAGATGATTTCTTCCGGGCACGAGGATGGTAGAAGGACCTCAATGCGACCAAATCAGTCCTGGGATGTCTCCGTGGGTCACACGACTGATGAAACTATTTGCGTCTCAAAATCAATAACTCTGAAGGAGCTTTGCGTCAGCTGGTTATCATGCGTTTATTCAAAGCTATTCTATCAGCGTGACAGAACAGCAGGTGGAGGCTTCAGGGCGGCCGTTCCCTTATCCTCAGTGATGGTGGTTGGTTCACGAACTGAAGTTTTGCTGCTGGAAAGTTAGTTTTAACAAACCCCTCAGAACACGCCCTCTCTCAGCAAGAAAGCTTTGGTCATGAGTCAAAAACATGTGATGATGTGTACTCTGGATAAGCTCTGTGTTGGATGGATAAAGTGGAAGTTGACCTTCTGGTTTACTGAACACACATTACCAATTATCAACCATAATCATAATTATACCCAAAGCATAATAAGTCATTTCAGTAATTAAAATACATTTACTGAACCAAGAGATTATTTATGATGATAATAATAAACAGTAATAAAGTCAAAGAGTTTATTAAAATTATTATTAAAATTATCATTGTGAAACTTGAAGTGTCCTTCTTCTGGGACGGAACAGCAGCGGATAAAGGATAATATTCCGCAGCCATCATGACTCCTGGATTAATCTGTGGAACCAAAAGTTACAGTCTGACCCAGCTTGACCTAGCTGGGAAAATGTGACCTTTGTCACAAATTAGAGGACCTTCGTGACGCTACACATGATAAAACATTTTATTGTACAGATTTAATTCTGATTCAATTCCAAGTGCAGCAAAGCAGCCTCTGTACAGAACCAAGGCTCTCCCATGTTCCACAGTAGGCATGAGCTCCTTTTCTTTGAACATAGAAGTGTTGAGCTTTGCTATAAAGGTCCAGTTTTAGGACAGCATAACCAGCTGTGGTTGAAGGGACACAAAGGTGCCTGGAGATTAAAATGATGATGACAATAAGCTTCTCTTTAACCTGAGACAACCTTCTTAACTTTCTGTGGACCATGTTCAGTGTAGTACACACCATGATATCAATCAGCACTGTGACTACCATTTTACTTTTTCAACAGTAAAACTAACTGATTACTTGAAGATATGTGATGCTGATTACAGGACACACTTTAGTTTAAAATGTCTCTATGGTCACCCTGAGGGCAAAAAAGTATTTAGTCAGCCTCCAACTGAGGAAGTTCTCCATCTTAAAAAGACGAGACTTAATTTTCATCATATACCTCACGTATGAGAGACCAAATGGTGGAAAATAAGTATTTGATCTTTTACAAACAAGCAATGTTTCTGTATGTCACAGACCTGTAACTTATTCTGTAAGAGACTTCTCTGTCCTCAACCTGTTACGTGTAATAATGCCACCTGTTGGAACTCATTATCAGTATAAAATACACCTGTCCACAACCTCAAACAGTCACACTCCAAACTCCACGATGGCCAAGACCAAAGAGCTGTCAAAGGACACCAGAAACAAAACTTTAGACCTGGGCTGGGAAGACTGAATCTGCAATAGGTAAGTAGCTATGTGGGAATAAATCAACTGTGTGAGCAATTATTACAAAGCGGAAGACATACAAGACTACTGATAATCTAACCTTGATCAGGGGCTCCATGCAAGATCTCACACCGTGGGGTCAAAATGATCACAAGAGCAGTGAGAAAAAATCCCAGAACTACACAAAATGACCGGCTGGGACTAAAGTAACAAAAGCTACCATTGGTAACACACACTACACCGCCCGGGACTCAAATCCTGCAGTGCCATATGTGTCCCCCTTCTTAAGCATGCTGTAGAGGGTAAATGTTGTTGCTTTTAAGCTTAAAATATTACCTTTACTTATGACCAATAAGCTGTGATATTCTATATAAATATAGAATATCAACCTGCTTGGTCTTTGGATGTTTAATCAGAAGATTCTAGGATTCTTTGCTTTTTCCAGGGATCAACACACACTTCGTCTCAATTCAGACAGAGTCAGGTTTATAAAAGATAAGAAATTTATTTTTTAAACAAATAAAAACATGACAAGTTGACCAAGGCTACTGTGATGGATGAATCTAAGAGGATGGGATGGGATGTATGGTGACTGTGTGAATGTGAGGTTATCAGAAACTTCATATCTAGAAGAACTGAGTTCTGGGCATGAAAAAGGGAAGAATTTGGTTTGCATTAAACTAGGAAGTCGGTTCTTGTCAAAAGGACATCAGACGCAGTCTGTGTGTCTACCTCACCCTTTCTTTGGAGACGGATCCGAAGGTCAGGGAGGTCGGATGACCTCTGGGCACCGAGGTTTGGTAGATTAACCGCAGCACCAACTCTCCAGTCCAGAGATGTTTCCGAGTCACAACAGATAGATGAAATCATTTACGTCTAGAACAGCTGTTTCTGAATAGGTGAAGGAACCATTTTGCTGTGTCAGCTGTAGGCAGCTTTTAGCTTGTTGAAAGATTTGGGTTAAAGAGGGTTCGCTCCGGATGGCCTGTCCGTAGCTTTCTTTAGAACTGACTCACCTTCTAGTGAGCTCTGTTTTAACATTCTCATATTATGATTTCTTGGCCAACCAGGACATGCCATGTTAAGGGGTGTTAACAAGCAAACCTCAGAATGTCACACCTTTTTCAAATACAGGATGTTCTGATTTGTGGCTAAGAAAATATCTATGTGTCATGACGTTTAAAAACTTTGATTTATCTCTAATGAACCTTGTGTCTGAGTGTAGATAATGATACACTTGCTAATTCTAAAAATACTGATAATAATATCATACCATACCATACCATACCATACCATACCATACCATACCATACCATACCACCTTTATTTATATAGCACGTTAAAAACACAGCCATACGGCTGACCAAACAGTCGCACAATAATAGATAATATCAAAAATGTGTCATTTCAACCACAGTAATTTATGCACAGATTAATCAAAACATGTCATTAGTATTCATATAATATTGGTTCATCCATTTCACGATTGATTAACTCATATTAGCTGAAAATAATCACTTTATTCAGAGAGTGAGCAATCCTGCAGTGTTATCAAAAGAAGGCTTTGTTTGGGAACACAGGCTGACATCGTGTTCCTCCTGAAATGTCAGCAAGGTTTGCAGAACCTTGTTGCTTGTTGGAAGGTAGAATGTAAAATCCACCTTAGAGAATGCAATTCATGTCTGCCAGTGACTGGTGGCATGTAGGTCAGTTTTTAAGTGAAAACTTACCATTGCTGGACGTTACAATGTGCAGGCTCATCTGAAGTTTGCTAGAGAGCATTTGGACGATCCAGAAGAGGGTCATAAGGTCAGATGAAACCAAAATAGAACTTTTTGGTAAGAACTCTACTCGTCGTTTTTGGAGGAGAAAGAATGCTGAGTTTGATCTGAAAAAACACCATGTCTACTGTAAAGCATGGGGGTGGAAACATCATGCTTTGGGACTGTTTTCTGCAAAGTGACCAGGATGACTGATCTATGTAAAGCAAAGAGTGAATGGGGCCATGTATCATCAGATGGTAAATGAGAAATGGCCTGTATTTGATATAACACTTTCTAGAACCATTTAACCCCCCAAGGTGCTTTACAACACAGTCATTCACACACACACACACACACACACACACACACACACACACACACACACACACACACACACACACACACACACACACACACTGGTGGGAATAAGCTATGATGTAGCCACAGCTGCCCTGGGATGCACTGACAGAAGCGAGACTGCCGAGGACTGGCGCCACCGGTCCCTCTGACCACCACCAGCAGGCAAGGGGGGTTAAATGAGTGAGGCTCAACCCTGCAATCTTCTGATTACGGGGCGAGCATTTAAATCCTGTGGCGCCATCGCAAAATTTAGAGTGAATGCCTTCCATCAGCAAAGACATTGAAGATTAACCGTGGCTGGGTCTTTCAGCATGGCAATAATCCCAAACACACCGCCTGGGTACCAAACGAGTGTAAGAAGCATTTCAAGGTCCTGGATTGGCTTAGCCAGTCTCCAGATCTCAACCTCATATAAAATCTTTGGAAGGAGTTGAAAGGCCATGTTCCCCAGCAACAGCCCCAAAACATCACTGCCGTACAGGAGATCTGCATGGAAGAAAGGGCCAAACTACAAGCAACCGTGTGTGAAAACCTTGTGAAGACTTGCAGAAAACATTTGACTTCTGTCATTGTCAACAAAAGTAGATAACAAAGTAATAAGATGGACTTGAGTTTTTGACTAAATACTTATTTTCCACCATAATTTGCAAATAAATTCTTTTAAAAATCAGATGATGTCATTTTATGGATGAGATGGAAGAAGGAAGAGTGAACAAGAGAACTGACATGAGAATCCAGGGTGAGAGCTGGGTCAAAGGTCATGCCAAGATTCCTGACGGAGGGTTTGGTGTGAGAAGCCAGCTGACCAAGAGAGTCTCTGACTTTGGGAAGCAGCTTGTCTGGGGCACAGATGAGGATCTTAGTCTTATCTTCATTCAGCTGTAGAAAGCTCCCAGCCATCGAGGTTTTGATGGAGTCTAAGCAGGTGTGTAACAGCTGCAGCTTAGACATCTCATGGGGCTTAAAGGAGATGTACAGTTCGATGTCATCTGTGTAAAGATGGTAGGAAATTCCTTTGAAGGAGCTCAGGATGTGCTGAAGAGGGAGCAGATAGAAGAGGAAGAGCAGAGGCCCCAGCACAGAACCTCGTGGGACATCATGGGTAAGGGAGGTGGTGGAGGATCTAAACTTGGAGACGGCCACAGAAAAGGAGTGCTCAGAGAGATAAGAGGAGAACCATTCCAGAGCAGATCCTGATAGGCCGACCCAGTCTCTCAGCCTCTCCAGTAGCAGGTGATGGTCAACAGTGTCAAAGGCTGCAATCAGTTCCAGCAAGACCAGAACAGAACAATCCCCTGCATCACTGTGAGTTAGAAGGTCATTAAAGACCCTAAGAAGAGCTGTTTCAGTACAATGAACTCTACAAAAACCTGACGTAAGCAATCATAGATGTTATGTTCATCAAGAGCAGCTGTGAGTTGTTTAGCCACACCTTTTTCCAAGATCTTGGAGATGAACGGAAGTTTAGAGATGGGTCTGAAGCTGCTATGGAGAGAGGCATCAAGACTCGTTTTTTTTAAGAAGCGGGTGGATTAGAGCGTTCTTAAGGTAAGCAGGGACCTGACCAGAATCCAGAGAAGCATTAATTATAGAGAGTCGAGGGGGCATGCAGAGGTCTTCATAGAGTTAACTAGTTTGGTTAACTCAGGCAAAGAAACAGGAGCAAACCTATCTAGCATGATTGGCCTGGTTGGAGTCGGGAGAGGTAGCGATAAGGCTGAAGGAGAGATGCTAGCTCTAACCTTATTGACTTTGTCCACAAAGAAAGACAGAAAGTTCTCACAGTCTCCAACAGAGTGGATGGAGGCTGTAGGAGAGGCAGGAGAGACGATGCTGCTGATGGTGTTAAACAGCACCTTGGGGTTCCCTTTGCTCTGGGACACCAGGTTGGAAAAATAGGAAACCCTAGCATCTCTGACTGCAGAGTTAGAGGATGTCAGAAGATCCTTTAGGTGCAGCAGATGGAGGTGGAGATGAGTTTTCTTCCACAAGCGCTCAATTTTTCTGCATTGGTGCTTCAGGCTGCGAAGGCTGTCATTAAACCAGGGAGTAGGGTTCACTGCAGGAACTGATCTGGTTCTGACAGGACGGATGTTGTCCAGAATGGAGAGGCAGTGCTCGTTAAACTGAGAAGTTAAGGAACCTGGGTCGTTATCAGAAGAACAGGGAGGATCAAAAGCAGCAGAAAAATTGCTAGCTGTGCTCTCATTAAGAAAACGAGAACTAGCCATCGCTTGTAAGTCGCTTTTGACAAAAGCGTCTGCTAAATACATAAACACAAACATAAAGTAACCATATGGCGAGCAGGTGGTAGGGACGCAGAAACTAACAAGTTAAAGAAAATGCAATGGTAATTAGAAATATAAACGTCCTCAGGACAAACACTGTCAGCATGTATTTATGTGAGGATAAAATATGACTAATAAAACAATTAGACAGAGCTGGAAACTATCAGAAGTAACAATATCTACACTGAGCATTGGTGTGAAAATCTCTCTCCTGTGATAGTTTTATCCAACCCACTGTAAACTTCATGATAATTCTGATAATAATAATTCTGTTTTGATGATAACACTTGTCCACCCAATATCATTGGGTTACTGTTGAAATCCGAAGATGGAAAAAATCTGATCTAATCTAAAACTGACCTTTCTGTGAACTAAATGTTGGAATGAGCCTCGTCAGTCAGACACTTTGTTCCTTAAACCAAATTTACATTTCAATTGGTTTGGCGGATGTCCAAGTTTCCAAAGGTGATGCAGTGCTCATGGTCGATGTGAAACATTGGAGCATTTGCTGCTACATTTCTTTAAACACATTTTATTGACAGAAAGGTAGGCACCCAGAACATGATTAATTTTGTTCAATCAGCATTTGACCTTTTTCTTATTTTAAGTCTACAAAGTAGTTTCCTTTCAGACACACTCTCCCGATGAAGCATCCAGACTTCCATATATGAGACATTTCCAGGAAACAGGGTGGGCATTTTATCTGTGCTGGCCAACACACAGTCCCCATCTGCCACAGAAATTGATAGTAGTGAGTTATCAAAGAGAATTTGAGTCCCAGTCATCGCTGGAAGTGTGTGTGTGTGTGTGTGTGTGTGTGTGTGTGTGTGTGTGTGTGTGTGTGTGTGTGTGTGTGTGTGTGTGTGTATGTGTAAAGTCTGAGTGAGATACTTAGATTACAGACTCTAGAGAAACTTAGCTGTGTGAACTAACAGTTATCTAATATTTTGCTAAATCAAGTAATCTTGTTCAGAATATACAAATGAAGTAGGGTTAAAACTAAAACGTGCTGGATGCCGGCCCTCCAGGCCCTGCTGTAGAGTTAAACTGCCTTGGCATGTTATGGCACCCAGATCTACCATTCTGTCTGCTTAAACTGTCAAAGACAGGTAAAAAGATAAAAAATAAAATAAAAATATACTTATCTGTATTTAGTAATATTTAGCTGACTCGTGTTTTCAGTAATTTCAGATCAGCTAATAAAACCCCATGAACAAAGGTGGAATTTACCCATTTTAGCAAATGTGGTTAATAACTGTTTCCCTTGTCTGAATGTACTCGTCTTTATCCATGATCTGTGTAAAAGGCAAAACAGAGGCTTTATTTACTGTCAACACATTTTATTTTGGGCTTATTTCATGATAACCAACCAAAATGTTTCTAATCAAGCTGTGATGCATCCTGAAGTTTTAAATGCACCATTGTCTAATTAAAAATGACAATTTTGCTTATTATAGTGAAACAGTCATTTTGTTCAAATAGTTAATTGCTAATTTTTGTATGCTTGGTGCTCTAAGTTGTATTTAGTAATAAGGTTTGGCTCTAGACAAGTGTTTCACTTCAGCCAAAACCCTTTTCAGTCATTTTGATATTTGCTTAAGATTATGATGTTTGTGTTATGATATTGACTGGACATAAACCAAACCAAACTTAAAAACAAATAACATACATGTAAAAATAACAGGAACTATCATACACTACCCTGATATCCCCATCATTAATAAAGAAACAACAACTGACAAAAATTATGCGACACATGTTTTTGTTTTTACCTTGCTGAAATGTCACTTCCTGTCTGGTTCATATAATTTCTTCAGCCTCATGACGAACTGCATGTGGCTTCCAGAAAAAATAGTCCCCATGTGGAAACTTTCTGGAGCTTTTATCTGGTTGTGACCTGAGACATGGTCGATGTAGATGCTCTGTTGAACTAAACAATTTTTTACTTTTACGGAAACCGTACAGAAACCACACCACATTCGTTCTGCATTTGTTGTGAACGAGGTTTAAATGGTTTTGGACCAGAAAAAGATGGAAAACTCCCTGTAGGTTATTAAAAAGACTTTGCCTCAAATTAATGTGTATTTCTTGGTGTCTTGTTTATGCATGATGGTAGGACATATTAAAAGATGGACCAATGGATTGGGGATTAGTATGAGGACTTTTCTCCAGTTAAAAATGAGCTGAACTGAAACGCAGAACTCTCCGCCTACTCAAAGATTCAAAAGATTTAAAATGGGAATGAAAGAACTAGATCTGGGGCTCAGACTTAGATGAGGTGAGAAGTGATTTTTTTTCTCCACTACTGAAACTTGTCAGCTGAGGTGGTTTCAGCACCTGACTAGAATACTTTTCTAGGACCACTCCACTAACACACACTTGAGGCAGACCTAAAACTCCCTTAAGGGATTATATATCTCCTGTCAGGGTTGGGAATCCCTTGGGATCCCCCAGGAGTACCAGAATAGTGGGATTTCTGGACTTCTTAAAGAAGCTGTGGTAGAAAATGAATAGAAAAATCAGGAATGAAGTCTGCAACAAAAACAATGTCCTTTTTATTTAAATAATTGATGATGGTTGGCCCTCGTTTAATAAAAAAAATAGGATAACTGCAAAACAAAGATGGCGCCAGTTTTGCCTGAGAAAGCAAAACAGGATAGTGTCACCACAATGTCCAACTTCTAAAGTCAAAGGTAAAAACTAGGAGGAAATCAAGGAAGAACAAAGGCAAAGGCAGTAGTTTTAGTTGTACTGCTCTGTGGTCCAGTGATGGACAATAATTCAGAGTTATAAATAAAAGCAGGACTATTTTTAAATGCAGACATTAAATTATGAAAATAAAATCTAAGCAATTAATCGAATAATCTCTCGTACATGATGCAGAATTTCATTCATGAAGAACCTTTTGAATGAAGTAGCTGGTACAACGAGACTGTCCTTGCAAGTCAGACCGCGTCATTGTGCTTTCACTCTCTTTCTTCTGGAATAGATCAATGTTTGGGAGATTTTCATGTGCATAGTTAAAAATACAGATTCCACAAGGCTAAAACCAGGCAGTTTATACAGAAATATAAAACACTGAGTGTCAACGCCATTTTTTCCCTTTTCATTTTGGTTAAACATGATTAATTTAACTGAAATAGGTGAAACGAGAGAGACTTCTTTATGTTGCTTAAGTGCTAAAGACACTGAATGTGAAATTGTGTGCAGGCACCTCAGAATGCAGAAACCACTAAGGCTTTCTAAATAGATTGGGATTCTGCTAAACCCCATGACCTGTTGTCTCATATCAAAGTGAAACACATTTGAAAAACAACAGTCAGTGTGAATGCAATGATGACGCCTCTGTTGTTTTCTGTATCTTTGAGATGCTCAGCACTGCATGCACCAGGTTGTTCACTAGCATCACATTCCTACAAAAGGTCTTGCTATTATCTCACCACAGCTTGGCTTCACCTTGGCCCTATTCCATTGAATCTTGTCAGGATGTAGCCATGTGCTAGAAGCTCTTCTAATGTTGGTATAATTCTTGAATCACACAAATACGGCACATTTGCAAGTGCAAGCAGAAGCTATATTCTTATTCAATACAAACCTGTTGAGCTATATATATATATATATATATATATATATATATATATATATATATATATATATATATATATATATAAGTCCTACAACCCATTGACTGTGTGATATTGTGTAAAGTGGGCCCAATACTAATTTCTTGAAGAGGAAGGCCACTCTACTGACTTCTCATTCTGTAATTAAACAGGATCACCTTTTCAAATTCTGTTTATTTGAAATTTTACAAAACATTTAAATGTTTTCTACTTGTTCTGTTTGTTCCAAGTTTAATGTCAGTTTACAATTCATCTAGCAATGCTACCGAGAAGAAATAATGAATTTGGAATGTTGAAAATTACAATTGCACAATATTTGCAAGTATTTGTATTTCCTGCAGAAAGATATTTCACATGTACACGAGGCGGCAGTAGCTCAGAGCGGGTTGCCTAGAGATCGGAAGATCATGGGACAGATCCCAGCTCCTGCAAGGGTATTCTGCTGTTGTGTCCTTGGCCAAGATACTTAACCCAACTTGCCTGTATCAGTGGCGGTCAGAGGGGCTGGCTGCCTCACCTCTGTCAGATCCCCCCAGAGTGGGTGTGGCAATAAAGTAGGTTACTGGCAGTGTGTGGATGTGTGTGTGAGTGCTTTCAGTGCCTAGAAAAGACAATCATTTTATTTTCTAAAATATATATTGCTTATATATTGCAGCATGATGAGGGAAGAGAAGGAGGAGAAGAAGAAGAAGAAGAAGAAGAAGAAGAAGAAGACAACGAAGAAGAAGAAGATGAAGAAGATGAAGAAGAAGAAGATGAAGAAGAAGAAGATAAAGAAGATGAAGAAGAAAAAGAAGATGAAGAAGAAAACGAAGATGACTTAGAAGAAGGCGAAGACGAAGAAGATGACTTAGAAGAAGATGAAGAAGATTTAGAAGAAGACGAAGAAGAAGATGAAGAAGATGATGAAGAAGAAGAAGACAAAGAAGACTTAGAAGAAGATGAAGACGAAAAAGAAGAAAGAGACTTAGGAGAAGAAGACTGAGACAAAGAAGATTACGAAGAAGAAGACTTAGAAGAAGAAGACGACAAAGACAACAAAGAAGAAGATGAAGAAGAAGATGAAGAAGACAAAGAAGAAGACAAAAAAGACTTAGAAGAAGAAGACTTAGAAGAAGACGAAGAAGAAGACAAAGACAACTAAGAAGAAGACGAAGAAGAAGACAAAGAAGATGAAGAAAAAGAAGAAGAAGAAGAAGACGAAGAAGATGAAAAAGACAAAGACAAAGAAAACGAAGATGAACACGAAGAAGACTTAGAAGAAGAAGAAGAAGAAGACTTAGAAGAAAACGTAGAAGAAAACGAAGAAGACGAAGAAGATGAAGAAGACTTAGAAGAAGATGAAGAAAACTTGGAAGAAGACGAAGAAGACTTAGAAGAAGACGAAGAAGACTTAGAAGAAGACTTTGAAGAAGAAGAAGAAGAAGAAGAAGAAGAAGAAGATGATGATGATGAAGAAGAAGAAGATTTAGAAGAAGAAGAAGACAAAGAAGAAGAAGAAAAAGTAGACGAAGAAGAAGACTAAAAAGACGAAGATGAAGAAAAAGAAGAAGACTTAGAGGAAGACAGAGAAGATGAAGAAGACTTAGAAGGAGATGATGAAGACAAAGACGAAAAAGACTTAGAAAAAGTAGAAGAAGACGAAGATGAAGACTTAGAAGAAGAAGTAAAAGAAGACGAAGATGAAGACTTAGAAGAAGAAGACGAAGAAGACCAAGAAGATTTAGAAGAAGAAGAAGACAAAGAAGAAGAAGAAAAAGTAGACGAAGAAGAAGACTTAAAAGACGAAGATGAAGAAAAAGAAGAAGACTTAGAAGAAGACGGAGAAGATGAAGAAGACTTAGAAGGAGATGAAGAAGACAAAGACGAAAAAGACTTAGAAGGAGTAGAAGAAGACGAAGATGAAGACTTAGAAGAAGAAGTAGAAGAAGACGAAGATGAAGACTTAGAAGAAGAAGAAGAAGAAGAAGAAGACGAAGAAGACCAAGAAAACTTAGAAGACGAAGACGAAGAAGATGAAGACAACGAAGAAGATGAATATGAAGAAGACTTAGAAGAAGATGAAGAAGACATAGAAGAAGACAAAGAAGACTTAGAAGAAGAAGACAAAGAAGAAGAAGAAGAAGAAGAAGAAATCTCACTCTAAATATTTTACTGCTAATCACCACCATATGATCATTCTATAAACTTCATGATAAAACGTCATGATGTAGTTTAGAGAATTCCTAACATATTCTGTGTTCATGCTGGTTGAAGCTTTGCTGGTTTGTGAATCTGCCAACAAATGTGTCACACACACCAGCTTTTCTGCTTACATCCATTCTAATGTCTGGCATCTTCTACTGGCTTCGGTCCAAACCACCTTGATTTCTGCTCCCAGTGTTTCCTGTTTAGTCAAATTAGTACTAAGAAATCCCAGCTAGCATATTGATGCTGAAAAGGTGTTGACCCAGCTGCTTCAGGGGCTCTTTGTAAATATAACCAATTAGAGTGTTAAAATCAGTGGTAAGTCAGCTGGAATTAATGGAACTGCTCTACACAATTCTGAGAATATCACAGTATTTTATTTTAATTGTGTAATTATGCCTTGAACTGTTACTCAAGCCTATCTGAGGTGGACCTTGTGTGTCAGGTACCGCTGGGCCTTTTGGCTGCTGCCAGCGTGGTGCTTCTCTACAGAGAAATCTATAAAGTCATGAAATGTACCAAACATAGGCATGGACTCTGCTGCACATGCAGACCCTGACACACTGATGAATGTAAGTACAGCTGCAGACAATGTGTGGACCCCCCCTCAACACACACACACACACACACACACACACACACACACACACACACACACACACACACACACCTCATTTCTCTCCTGCATTTATTTGACAGCCAGCTGAAAGTGTCTGAGTGCCTTCCAGTGCATGCTTCAATTGTTTCACTCCTCTAAGTGCAGAAACACAGCAGGAACACGTCTTCCCTTATGCTTTTAAAACCACTTACTTTGTACACACAAATGCAGGACTCAGGTAAAACCATTAGTTTTGGTCCACCATTTGAATGTTCCTTTAGTTCTCATTATGGATGATTTTTTCTCTAACTTTCTTCTCACAATCCTTTTTTTTTTTCATACGATATGTGGTCTTAGTCACTATTCATGGTCTGTGGTCTGTTGGGGTGCAGGCAGCTCTGACCGAGACAGAGAGAGACTCAACAAGCTAGCTTGGTTCTGGGCTGCCAGCTAGATTCAGTTGAGGAGATGTGTGAAAGGAGAATGCTGGGGAAGATGAGCTCCATTTGGAAAACCGCTCCCACCCACTGCATTCCATTGTAGAGACCATGGACAGCTCCTTCAGTGACAGACTGAGACATCACAGCTGTAAAACAGAACGCTACCGTAGGTAATTAATCCCCTTTTCAGTGAGTGTGTGTGACAGTGTGAGCGTCCAGTCACTGTATTCCGATTGATCATGCGCCTTGTCTACTTGACCATGCTGTCCCTTTGGCTGACTGGTTAGCGCACGTGACTCTCACTCAGGAGTCTGGGGATCGAATCCCGCCTGGGTCCTCATTTCTCGACCTTGCCACATGTGTATACCTCCTCAGTTAAACTGATACTGGTATTGTCATGGTACACAATAACATCAGTGCAATATTCAGTTTGTGTTCAATGCCAAATGTACATTAGTACATCTGCCCCTTATGCTGCATAGTTCTGGAAACACAAGTTTCCGTTTTTATTTGTTGTTTTTAGTGGTTGAAGGTTACAATAATAGCTTAGTGCCTTTGTGTGTTTACCTGTAATCTTGTTATTATTTTCTTCTTCCTTTTCTCTAAGTGTATGTGCTGCAGTAGCAAGTGAATTTACCGTCTGTGGGATCAATAAAGTGTTATATTCAATTCCATTCATGTCCAACACTCTCCCCTTTTCTTTTCTTGCCTCAGCACTTACTGAATATGCACACTTCTAGTTTTTTTTTATAATACAAAGGAGTTCAGGTCACCTAAATGTTGCTTTCTGTGTGTTCTTTCCAAATGGTTTCTGTGCTTTTCTGCCAAGCAAGAATGAAAATCAAATGTGGTTGGCTGAACAGAGAAGGTGCTTTGGGTTTTTGCTGTTGGGTTCCTTTCTTGGCCAGTTTCTTTTCTCTCCCAGTGTGTGTGTGTGTGTGTGTGTGTGTGTGTGTGTGTGTGTGTGTGTGTGTGTGTGTGTGTGTGTGTGTGTGTGTGTGTGTGTGTGTGTGTGTGTGTGTGTGTGTGTGACACTCGTTGACTCTTGGTCTTTTCTCACAGACAGCCTTGTTCACCTGGACCCCACTCTGTGTTAAGCAGCCATTGTTCTCATGAAACATTAAATCCTTCACAGCCATTCTTTCAGGCTTCATCCTCTGAACAATAGCTCCTGAATAACCGTGTGTCTGGATGTGCGAAGAGAAACACTGTAATTGGAAAAGGCCTCCAATAATGTAAGAGAGGCTGGATGCCTGACCGTGAGCCACCAGGCCCAGGAGTTGGCATTTTTCTTCCCTGAACGCTTTGGATGTGAGTACTTTGACATTGTACCTCTTCTTCTTCCGGCTCTTGGAGAGTACAGACACTTTTTTCCTCCTCTCCTCCCTATCTTATCCCGAGGCTCTTTGTCTGTCTCTGGTTGTACGGTTCTGCATTTTTTCTGGAAAACTGAAAACTGAAATAACTAAAATGGACCTGGTCAGTTGGTCTCTCAACGCGATTGACATCAACGATGAGAATGGGAGAAGGGGCTCCCGGGTGCCCCCCTGGGACAGATTCAGTTGTGCATATCATGGACTCCTGGAAACAGTGGAACCTGATTTGCTTATCTCAACTGTCTGTAGAGGATTCTGAAGACGGATGGATATTCGTGGTGTTGGTGTCATGTCTGAATCTGGTGCCCTTGAGCCTGTGAGGCTGAAACGAATACCCCCCCCCTCAGAAGAAATGTGGAATGCTGCAGTTGCCATGGCAAATCTGTCTCCCTATCCCAGCCTGGGCGGGACTGCAAGCTGTGAAGGCCGCTGAATCGTTTCCAGGAGTCACTGTGACCTCTGAACCCAACAAGCTCCCACCCCTGTCCAGACTGAGGTGACGAGCGCTGCTTATCGCGGCTGCATTCACTGACGTATGGAGAGTCCCAAACCCTACCAACCCACCTAGTGGACACTTATGTTGTGTTATGCCTGAAGTCTGTTGCATTTCTGTCTGAGGTGTTTTTTGCATAGCAAAGCTGCCCTCCCTGTGGAAAGAAACTCTGAAGTGCCTTCTTTTCCTCCACCTGACCCAATCCTCATGTACCGTAATTTCGGGACTATAGAGCGCACCTTAAGCCGCACCAACAAAAAAAAAAAAGAAGGTTTTCTACACACATACGCCGCACTCAAATACAAGCCGCGGCGCAGCAGCCACATGCAGGTCTCCGGCGCATGTATGGCCATAACATAAGATAATTAGACAGAAAGACGCTACACGGAGGTTTTTCTTTGTTGTTTTAATTCAACAAAACGAATTTTAAACACAGGTGAACGTGCCTGCAAGTTTAGAAAAGAAAACAGCACTGATAGCATTCATATTTCTGGATGGTTATGAAATGAAAACAGAACTGACACGTTATTACCGGTAATCTGCATGCATGTTTAGAAGAAAAGAACAGCGCTGACACAGCATTAATAAGCCCTGGATGATTAGAAAATAAAAACTGCACACAAAACATGCCTGGTTAGTAAATAAAACACACTTGCCTACCAGAAGAAGTCATTCGCTCTCATCTTCCTCTTGCACACTAAAACCATTAAAGTCCTCTTCTTCAGTGTCGGAGTTGAGCAGCCTCAGAAGAGACTCGTCACATACCTTTTCTGTGGTGATGTCAGTGTCGCTGTCCGTGTTGCTGTCATCATCCCCGGGTGAAGCTGGCTTGAATGAGTTCTTCCCGCTGCCGTCTCCAGCGCCGAACCATGGATTCATTCATGCCAAGCTTACGTGCGGCAGCACTGTTTCCCTCCTTCACTGCCAGATCAATGGCCTTCAACTTAAATGCGGCAACGTATGAACTCATACGTGTAGTCACCATGATGGGGGGGGGGGGGGGTAAGGATTTGAAAAAAAATCTTCGTCGTGCTGGCTGCTTGCAATTGCTAAATTAAAATGAGCACTTTCTTCGATTTCCCCTTTTGACTTCCACCTGTTTCACTTTCTGCTAAAGCGCCCCCTGGCAGGTGAAGGAAAATCTTCAGTAAAGCCGCACCTCATTATAAGCCGCATGGTTCAAAGTGTGGGAAAAAAGTAGCGGCTTATAGTACGGAAAATACGGTAAACCCCTCTGATCTCTATTAAGGTAGCGCGATTCAGGTTGCAAATGACCACAGTCAGCAATTCTTGTCATGTGTCTTTGCCTATGTATGTCTGATCTCAGAATTGTGTGTACTGAAACTCTAATTTCCCTCTGGGATTAATCAAGTATCTTTGAATTGAATTCAATTTCTCTCTCTCTCTCTCTATGTGTGTGTGTGTGTGTGTGTGTGTGTGTGTGTGTGTGTGTGTGTGTGTGTGTGTGTTTTACCATGACAATATCCTTTTGGGTAAGCGGTCCACTCCCACAATGCACATCTTATCTCTTAGCCTCACGTAATTTGCATTCACTCAAAAGGCTGAAGTCAGTGGTCTTGCTCTGCATCCTAACCACCTGGAATACACATGCAAATCTTTTTTTTTTCTTTTACATCTTATCAAAATCTTTTTATATCATTTTCTGGTTTCTTTTCACCATTCTCGAATAGTTGCATTGAGGACAGCTTGCAGAGGTAAAGAAGTTTTTGCTTTGCTAATGAGCTTCAGATCTGTGGAACTGGCCATATCTCATATTTTCTAAGGGAAAACTGATCCCACTGTTAAAGTTAGAATATGGACCATTTTAATAAAAAGCTATTTTTAAAAATACAAATATATGTGCCCAAACACGGTAATTGAACGGTCACTCATGAATTTGTTCATTTTTTTCGTGAACGTAAACTGAACTCATTCGTATTTTGCCTGACGAACGTAAAAGTGAGCGCGTTCTTCCTGGCGTGCGTGAACGGGCTTATGAACGTGTTCTTTCGCCGTTCTAGCTCCGGATCTCCACGGAGCTTTTCCCGAGCTAAACCCTAGCTAAAACATCCTGTAAACCATAGAGTTTACAAAAACTAGAACCTCCAAATGCGACCAAACGTAGGCAGTAGCGGTTGGTGCGGCGTCTACTCTTCTATGTCTATGCTGTGTGCAGGAGTCAAAGTTGCAACACATTCTCACACCCAAAGCATCAAATAATGACGCATGTGACCAAGCGTCATCATATGATGATTAGGGAGCCCCAGCGCGTCGGGAGAGGACGCGCAGGGACACTGTGCCAGAGCATCGGATACCGACGCCCGCGGTGAGACCGTCTTGAGAACTTCTTAACCTTCCCCTCACCTCCATTCTAACCTTATCTAGGCTGTGCATGCAAAGCTTCACTGGAAATTACTGAGTTAAGGTTAGGATGGGGTGAGGGGAAGATTAGATCACTAGAGGTTCGA